CGTTTTTACATATTGTATCCCAGTGGCACCACACACAACTGCAGTGCTACAGTCCTGCTGTCATGCAGTCATTGCAAGCAGCATCGCTAAGTTTGTACGTCTGTACATTAGCTATAAAACAAACCAAATTTTGAGTTTTTATTCAAAAAGTTTAATCAATATCAAAAAAGTGCAGCTGGTATTTATTTGTTATTTTGCAATGTAAAAGGAGGTAACATGTACGTGCCTAAATTAAACTTCAATAAAATTAACCGTTTCTCCATTGATTTTTTAATATTTCTTCTTGTAGCAGTAACCAGGTTGGCATCAATAATTTATTCTCGCTCTAATACTGTACATGAAGAAGCTATTGTTGTGCACAGCACCCCACACTAAATTAAACATTTCCCAGAAACTCACAAAACAAATAATTTACGAGTCTTTATTAATAGGTTATTTACGATCACGTAGCACAATTAAGGTCACCAATAGAATGTTGCTCAAGACAAATGAGGAGCGCAAGGCGTCGGCCATGACACCTGCATGATGGATTCCGGCAGATCGGAGAGACAATGGTTTTCAGCGTCGACCTTTTTACAGTGCTTTCACCTCAACCATTCTGATCACTGCAACCATTCTGATCACTTCAACCATCCAGCGCCCCGTAACATTTCGATCATCACAATCATCCAGCGCCCCGTAACATTTCGATCATCGCAACTATGCAGCGACATTTAATCATTTCGATGATCACAACCATCCAGCGCCCTTAACATTTCGATCATCACAATCATCCAGCGCCCTTAACATTTCGATCATCACAACCATCCAGCGCCCCGTAACATTTCAATGAGCGAGTTTCTATAGGACAAATGACGATACGATTTCGAATGAAAATTGTTCGCGTTAGCTGCAACGTTTGTTTCATGTCTTGACGAATATACTAGAATACAAGGATTTGTGCGCGTTAAAGGGCTATAAATTAACGTTATCATGACAATAATTGCTGCTCTCTTCATCTAAGTGTATCATCGCATTAGCGTGCAATGTTGTTGGTCAAATTAAAAATTGGTGAACGGACATTTCTTGGTGCGAGGGCTGTTAACTTTCAGACGTGCTTTATGTGTGCATTAGATGTGCAGGAGATAAGTGATATCACCAGCTTGAAACAAGTTGAAACCCGCACATACAGATACAAATGATTTGCAAACCTCAATAAAAAGCATAAAATCCAATACAAATTAAAATTAGTCTCAACAATTTTTTACAAGGATCAAATTGCGGCAATGGAAGTCATAAGACTATTTATAAAGATAATTACCTGCAATCACTTATCCCATTAGCTTCCTGCAAAATTTTTGAGTTAAACAGTAAGAATAACTAATAGATAGACCGTAAACCATTGACTATAAGCTACAGTTGGAAAATCTGTTAATGCGTACAGGAGATATTGTTTCAATTATTATTGTACACCATACTTGTTAAATCTGTTAATGCCAGCAGAAGAGATATTGCTTCACTGAGAAACTACACTTGATAAATCTGTTAATACCAGCAGAAGAGATATTGTTTCAATGAGACACTACACTTGGTAAATCTGTTAATGCCAGCAGAAGAGATATTGTATCACTGAGACGCTGGTAAATCTGTTTATGCCAGCAGATGAGATATTGTATCTATAAGACCTGTCTCTTATACACATCTAGNTTATTTGTTCTGTCATTGTTTTAACTACGAAAATATCGTAGAAAATAACAGATTATCATTCAGTATTAATTATTGCAGTGAAGAAATACTCGAGACTTACTTGACGTATCATAAAAAATTAATTTCAAGTGCTCATTAGCTAAACGTATAAATGACTGGAAGATAGAGTCCTTCGAATTTTACGCTACTCAAGAATTAGGTGAATCAATAAATACTGAACAAAAATCCACAGTTAGAAATCCTTTGGCCGATCAGCATTTATAAGCATTAAAAATAATCTATATAATTATTATAAAGAGTTATGAAACTCATCCTGCATTACGAAGGAGGACGAGTTAGATCATAATTTCTCGTCAATAGCTTGTTATGAGGTATTTTATATTACAAATAATTAATACGTAAGTCGAGAAGAACTCTTATTCGCTGTAGAGTATTGCCGCAAGATTGCCGTAGATAATCTTGCTCCAATTTCCAGCATGATCTCCAACAGAACCAGGGATTCATATTGCTTTCTGGAATAATTCTTATATGTATTATACACATGAAATTCAATGGCCATCGATAGACCTACTCTGATTTCCAGCATGATTTCCAACAGAACCGTGGATTCATATAGCTTTCTGGAACAATTCTTACATGTATATATAGTTTACACATGAAATTCGATGGCCATCGATAGACCTACTCTGATTTCCAGCATGATTTCCAACAGAACCGTTGATTCATATTGCTCTCTGGAATAATTCTTATAAGTTCTGTACACATGAAATTCGATGGCCACTGATAAACCTACTCTGATTTCCAGCATGATTTCCAACAGAACCGTGGATGCATGCAACTATCCGCCGGCAATCAGCGAGGTCCGGATATGAGGGAACGCTCGAGTCTGAGGGACTCGAAAAGTACATGGAAACACTCGAGTCCCTCGGGCCGAGAAAGTATCTCAAGGGACTGCGATAATGAGTAACGCGGACCAAATGAAAAATTGGAAAAATAATTTACTGCAAAATCAATCGAATGGAAAGTTATCTACTGAATTAATCGTTTAGATTATATATTTTCAACTTAAAACGTTCAGGATATTAATACGCGATCTGAATAATGACTGGTATTGTATTAACGCAACGCATTAAGCATTTTATTATAAAACAATTTTAATTAAATTTCATTTCAAGTTTATTATTTTATGAATATTTTTTGCGTTTGGATAATCAATTATTATAACATAGCCTTGCATTGTTTGATCAAATTTATAGAACTTTCCTGTAGATATTAGGTTTTTGTCTTTCTTGAGTTAAATGCTTCCATTCGTAAATTCGAACGAAGTCTGACATGCGTGCGTCCTTCATTTACGAACGCACGAATATCACGCGTCTGAATGTCACGGCTGCTTGCGGTTGTATTGAACAAATGACGGCCGCTAGTTACGTTGTTTTTAGAAGACGAGGAAGGCGAATTTTACGGCGAATGAAACTTATTCCTTCGCTCAACGATTTTAAATTCAAGGGAGATGTAATTTCAACTGTAATTCTAGATGTAATTTTAGATGTAATTTCAGATGTAATTTTAGGTGTACGTAATTTCAGGTGCAATTTCAGAAATAATATCAGATGTAATTTGAGATGTAATTCGATTTGTAATTTTTCTCTGAGCTAATAAATGAAGATAAAAGTCGACACATCTTCTAAAATCTAAGTCATAAAAACACGAAAAGTAAAGGGCAAAGAAATCAATGCGAAATTAATGTTAAGCCGAAGATTATCGAAAAAAATATAACTCAGTACTCACAGCAGTGAGTGACAGAGAGCGCATTTTCTCGTCGACGAAAACTTGAGGTCACGGACAGACGGACGGATAGACGGACAGACAGACAGACGGACATGGCGAGCACAATAGTGCATTTTTTCCATAAATGAGAAAATGCGCTATAAAGGAAAAAGTCCCTATAGATGAAATACAAAGAGTAAGAAAGGACCAACTGTTAGTTCAATTTCTTAATAGAAATTTCACCTTGTTTTTTTTTTCAAAACGCATCACAAAATAAAAATACATGTAACATATTAACGCATTAGAGAAGACAATTTATTTGAATGAAGCTGAAGCTTATGCCACACTTTCTTTCAGCTATAGTTTCACAACATGTCTTCTTAATGTCATTGCAACTGTAAAGCGAAATCTAACATTACGTGAGTCAGCAATGGCAATTCAATTGTTCTGCATTAAGAAGATAAATTACGAAGACAGAGCCCATTATTTTTCTTGGGATGTCACAGTTCAAAAATACGCATCGGGCCTGGGAGCAGTTGCGTGTAGTACTCGTTTTAGCAGCACCGTACGATTTGTTTCGTATTTATACCGAATTTTTTACCTGCCACATTGTGCACGATACTCACTCACACTTTATAAAATAGATAAAGACGACATGTACGGCTTTTAAATAGATAGAAGTTATTTACATAGAAGAACAAATCAACTCACGAGATACATAACGCCCCAAACTGAAGATCCCAGTTCAAGAGAACACCGCATTATGGATGAATTACGCAGTGAACACCGCAGTATGGATGATTTACGCAGTGAACACCGCAGTATGGATGAGTTACGCAGTGAACACCGCATTATAGATGAGTAACGCAGTGAACACCGCAGTATGGATGAATTACCCAAATATAGCAGTATGGATGAATTACCCAGTGAACACTGCATTTTGGATGATTTGCGCAGTTAGCACCGTAGTATGGATGAGCCAAGCTCAGCAAAAATGGGAGGCTGTGACTGGAATTATTAATAGGTAAGCCATTTCCTGACAATTTCCGCACCGTGATTGATATTTCATGATACCAGCTCTCTTTCCAGTCGAAATGCAGGGCGGGATCGTCCGGCATTGGATAATTCCGATTGTAATTCTAAAATTCTGCTATTTTGATATAAAAGTCTGTGCAGTTTGCCGGGGAAATGCTTAACAGGAGAGCCAACCAGTGCAAAACATCTTTGTAACTCATTTTTTTAATATCCACATCAACAACAAAATGGATTTTCAATTTTGAGAACTAAATGAAAATTTCTACAGAAATTGATTACTGAAGTGTGCTCACAGATTATCAATTCATTTATTGTAGATTACCAAAAGTCCTGAATGTGCCATAATTCATCACCATTGTTGAGGACATAAAATCTATTTAAAGATTATCGACAGCCTCCAAATTTGCCAACCTTATTTCAACAGCCGAGCTTGTATGAAAATCGCTTTAAACATAAATACGGTACGAGTTATCATTGTTACAGCAAAACTGAGAAGAAAGCCAGAAGCTTACCTGATCGTAATGCTCTTTGTTATCTTTCTTGACATCTTCACTCCTGCTCTCCTTATCACTGGAGTAATTTTCGGACGATTCCACTACGTTATTTTCAGCCTCGCTTGTTCCTCCGTTCGATTCGTCAGGTTCTTTGCTGCTGCTATTTACCGCGTCAGTTTCACTGTCGTTTCCACTGTTATTTTCAGTAGCATTTGTGTTGTGGTTGTGATTACTATTATTGTTGTTGTGGTTAATGTTGTTGTTAGTTAGACATTCTTTGGAGGATTGAACTTTGAAATTCTGGAGCTGCTCTTTGAGGCTATGCACTTCAGACTCCGCCAGCGTGGCACGCTGAAAAAGAAAGGGAAAACAATTGAATTTCGAGCTTGAAAAGTTTTTACAATTTTATAAATAAGCCTAATATATTATGTGTACACCTAAGCAGATAATCATTGTTCAAAGAACAGTGTTTTTTGTTCAAAAACACAAAAAGATTAAATTTCAAATGTACTGAATGCTATCTCGGATTGTGTCTCAAATCTAAATGATTTTTCTGTTCAATCAACGTTAAACTTTCATAATTGCAAACGATAATAAGTCTTACTAATACCTATTCAATGACTAAGACTTACACTGAACTAAAAATTGACTAACTTACTAATCTATTCGTAACCTAAAAATAATATAAAATAAGAGATTTTATCAAAAAATAGTATCCGAATTCTTGAAAGATGCAATCATTTCAGAGGTGCTCAATTTTCGCGCACACTTTTCTTAGCCAGTCAGTCTGAGTTGTTTAAAACCCGAAATTGAAAGTGAAAGTTGATACGGAACACATTTATTGTCCGTGGCAGCTTTATGTTCACTAACTAGCCGCAAGAAGGTCGACTTACATGCACGGTATCGAGCGTAATATGTTCGGAAGGTTGCTCAGTGGGAAACGTTTCAAAACAAGTTAGAATTAGACTTGTATATCAATGGTCTGCTGCCCTTGGCCTGGTTGAACTACTGCTTTATATCATTTTAAAATCAGTGTTTGTTTCCGGTTCAATATATTGTATTGATCAGTTGACCAAGATTAAAAATATATAACGATCTAGTTAGCTTGGATCTGACAGAATTAGAAGCATTCGTGAACCGATAGAAGGGATTTCACTACAATAGTCTAAATCGAATAAACTATTTCAAGTGCATGAATCTGAATACTACCAGGGATAGTTCCGAGTAAAGGTTAAATTATTCCAGCGTATTTTGATGATTAGTAATTGCAGCATACACTCTTAAAATTGTGTTATCCTAAAATTGTGTTAGCGTGCACCTCGTCGCATTGAGTACAAATAAATTAAGTTCTTCGTAAAACACAAACTTAAACTTTACCTGGGCTATTTTTTCCATTGCTTCTGTTACGACATAAATGCGATTACATAATAATTTTGTGAGTAAGAACAGTTCAAATTTTGACAGAAAAGTTATGAATTTATTAGCCGGACTTTCACTGGTTGATGAACTAAACACATGACACTAATTAAGAACCAACTTCGTTTTTTTCATCTCATGAAAAATCAATTAATTATTGTACAGAATGACGTGTGATCAAAAACGTTACCAAATGAACCATCTCATCTCTGAAATTTTATATCGTAAAGAACGAGGTGCAATTTATTAGCGGACAGAAGCGTCAATAGCGAAGGTGTTTGTCAATAAGTAATAATAAACAGCCTTCAATAGCGTTGACGACTTAATGAGAGGCTTGTAGCTGTGGGTTCTGCTAATGACAAAGCTTGCATCGAGCGATTGTGTGTCGACCTGTCCGAACGCTACCGGCAGTTCAACGAACGAATTTTGCTCGGTCACTATCATCAGCTTCTGAATGCTCGCTTTGCCACCCGTTTATCGATTCATTCAATGGATAATTGATAGTGACTCTAATAGCTCAATTTTAGGATGTACAAGCGAAAGCGACCTTGATCTCGTATCCTCATTTTTGGGAATGAACTTTTATATGATATTAAAATGTCCATTGACATTTTGAAGAAGATTAAAATGAATGTCCATGAACAGTTTTATCGTAGTAATTGATCCTCACCTCCGGCGCGAAATAGATAGCTATCTGAAGCGCTAGTAAATCTTTTACTACTACTACTACTACTAGTAATTGATCGACACTGGGTTATAGCGATATCCATGTGATAGTTCGTAAAGCAATGCGAGAAAAATATCGCGTGATCTGTGCCACTGTGACCTAATAAATACTTTTGAAACTAATGAATTTATTTTTCCAAATTTTTGCGAAGAAACATTTTCCCGGCAAGGTTCGATGTTTTCAAGCGGATCTCTTTTTTTGCCAAACGCGTGAAAACTAACACAAATTTCAATGAAATTTTTTAAGGAGTTACTCTCAAAACCTTATCGAAGCGACTATTTTTACCAAAGCTAAAGGGTTTGATTAATCCACCACTGATTTCATTCATGAGATTAGGATGCGTATACGAGGAAGTTTTTAGTACGCTTGATTCTATGGACATACGTCATTGATGACCCATGCCGTAAATCACCTCGCACATGACCAGCACCGTAAATCATTCAAATTCGATGACATGGGATCGCGTTCCTCTTGATGTGAGGATAAGTGAAGAAATTGGTCATGAATTGCAGTTGGACGCTTCACGGCATTAAGCTCTCTCATCAATTTGCGGTCGATTGTACTTCGTCTTGAACTTATGATCGTAGACCTACTGAGTTACTGAGTAGCAACAATGTAATAATGTTTCGCGAAAAAGGATGAAATTGTTTCAAACTACTCTGGTTTCTGCAGGAGCTAAATTCTTACGATCAAGTAGCTGCTGCACTTATATGCATTTAATTTATTCTTACGATAAATTAACATTCGTATAGTATGATTAAGAACTGCAATTTAAATGCCTTTGTGCATAAATAAACATTCAAACCCGGTAGAAGTTTGAGTAATGAGTAATGGAATCAATGCACACTTATTCCATGAGAATAAATGAATAGCTGGAACAATTGTTGCGAGATCGTGTCGCCCGCCACTTGCATGCCGTACGGTCAAGGATGATGTCCCTGGTTTATGCTAACGGTTACTAAGTTGGTGCGATGGCTTATAACGTCGCAGGTAATGCAAGGGAAGAACCATAACCAGCAAGCGTTGCTCTTCAATTAAACCGGCTTTTATTTGGGACGATGGTTATTCATCTAGGAGGAATGACCACGGGAAATTCAAGGTGAGTATTAAATCTGAGATGGCTGTCGTGAATAACGGATTGTGTATAGGATGGCATCGATTCATATATTTTCGGTTAAATTATGGTTTATTAAAAACAAAGAGCAGAGACGGAAGTGTCATACGATTTTCGTACAAGGAAAATTTTTTGCGTCAAAACTCTTCTACGGTAATCGACAATCGGCGTAATAAATTGACAAAAGGTAGGTAGAGTATGAAAGACAAGCGGATTAATTAACGATGGTGCAATAACAATTAATCAAATGTTTATTATCAATCCGAAAAACACACACAACCATGTCAAAGTAATGCCCACAGACTTCAAGGTCGAATTAATATTTTTAGAGGATCGTTGGATCATGACAATAATGGGTTGAATATGATTCAGTCCAAGCAATAGACATATATACCAAATTATTGAAAGTTTAGTTAACACAATAATATAACTAAATCGTGTAGTAACGTACAAACAAATGAAACGCAATAATAATGATTGTATGAGATCGAGATGACATTATAGGCATAAATATACCATCTATTGACAAGTTAAAGATCAAAATAATATAAACAAATCGTGTGTTAACGTATAAACAAATGAAACGAAATAGTAACGATTGTATGAGATCGAGATGACATTATAGGCATATATACCATCTTTTGACAAGTTAAGGATCCAAATAATATAAATAAATCGTGTGTTAACGTACAATCAAATGAAACGAAATAGTAACGATTGTATGAGATCGAGATGACATTATAGGCATATATATACCATCTTTTGACAAGTTAAGGATTAAAATAATATAAATAAATCGTGTTTACATACAAAAAAATGAAACGAAATAGTAACGATTGTATGAGATCGAGATGACATTCACCACACAGAAACTCGCCAACGGAAGTGTTAGGCGATAAAGCTCACGTCAGGATATCGCCACTTATAGTCTTACGTTTCATTGTAGTCACGGTGAATGGCTACCGTGCATTTTGCATCAGTAGAGTTACGATGAATGTATATGCTGGCCTACGAATAAATATGAATTAATTGTGTACATTGCGCTTCTGCGTTAATATGGCAGCAAATAATTGATAACAGCGCACTTTAATTCGCGTCAGTGTGGCACGAAAGAACTTTGCTGCAATCTCTCCTATATCAGTATGGATGAATAATTGTATACACTAAACTTTGCTTTATTATAGCAACGAGGAATCACGCATATTCAACTTATCCGTCAGTATTAATAGCACCAAATAATTGTGTGTTGTGCATATATGTTTAGCTTACTATCTGCAAATTATTATAGTGCATGTGCGCTAGTTCAGCATTAAAGCCAGTCTATCGTGTGAACATTGTCAGCATGGAATCATATTATTGAATCAGAAGCTCACAATTGAGTGGTTCCTGAACCATGCACTTAGCATATTATACCAGTGAACGAGGGCATATTTCCAATGTGTATCATCAGACCCATAACTTCAAATGGTACACACAGTAATGACTTTCTAAACCCGTTCATATATATACACGATCGGCATGAACGGTGCATGTATCAAAAATTTTAGATCGGCATAAATTTTTGACTTAATTAAGCCACAAATGTAAGTTTAAAAAATTATTTTATATATAGTCTATTTAACGAAATAGACGAATTGACTGATTAAATGCAAGAGTCTATTTATATAATGATTTTTATAAGGCAAAAATATTTAAATTGCAGGTGTAGATGCCCCAAACGCGCTAAGGCAAACTCTCAGAACAACCATTCACTTGTTATCAATCAAGTTATTCACAATCATAAGGGCAAAATTCATTGTGAAACGCATCGACTACCGATTCTCAATGGCGGATGATCAGCGAAATGGGGAGGAGAAAAGTCTAACAAGACCGGTAAATATGTAGGTAAATAAACCGATAAATAGAACTACAAGGAATTTAAAAGCAAAGACAATACCAAAAAAATTCACAATATCTTTATAAGAGAAAACGTTTCGGAGTCCAGCTCCATCGTCAGTTCACAAAATTCAGTTCAGAAGAAGTTCAGTCCAAATTCCTTGTTAACTTGCGATTTAAGCAAACAAGTGATTTTAATTCTTAAATAGAACTATAGAT